TAAGAGTTACTTGAGGTACAGCTGAGAGTGACCCTAGCTTGTTGAGCGCTCTCTGAACTTCTCCAGCTTATCTGGCCCGGGTTGTTTGATAATGCTATCCACTGGAAAAATCATTATCCAGCAGATAAGTGTCAGCAAAACAAACCGTGCTATCCACTGGATAGGGATTTATTTTGAGGATAATGTTATCCAGCTTTCAAACAACTGGGACAGTTTCAATAAATTAATTGCCAATAGGAATGATGAAAGAGTTTGACGTTGTTTGTACCATAAAATGTGCAGTATATTGATACACACTAGTCTTACAGTTACCGAGTTTGATAGGATGGCTTTGCTATATGGCTACAGTGAAACCTGTATTAAGCGGACACCCATGGGACACTCATTAGTGTTCGCTTAATAGAGGGTGTCTGCTCTAAACAGGTTCTAATATAGATTATTGCAATGATCATCATCATCAGTTCTTGAGGTGCCAGTAGGTGCATAAGGCCATCACATTTTCTGCCTAACACTCTGTTTTGTGCCACCGCCTTGGCTACATTTCAGATCTTCCACCCTGCCTTATTTCTCTCTTTCTTGACAGTCCTCCAAGCGGTCTTTGGTCTCCCTCTTGCACTTCTTCCTTCTGGTGTCCACCCCAATGCTGTAACACAATTGTTCTCACCCTCTCTCCTGAGTATGTCCTAACCAGTTCCACCTTATTCCCTGTATCTCGTAACTTATGTCATTGACCTCAGCCGACTCTACCACTCTCTTTTTTGTCATTCTTTGCTGTCATCTGATCCTCAGTATCCGCCTCAGGCATAGGCATTGGAAACTGTGCAACTTTCGTTCATCAGACTTTGTGATCTTCCATGTTTCACAGCAATATACCAGGATCGATGGAACTAAACTCTTGAATAGGCGTATTTTGGTTGCTCTTCCTATTCCAATGGTTGTCCACACCTTTCCAAATCTTTGAAATGCACTGCGTGCCTTTTGCAGTCTGATCTTAATATCTTTACTTCCCCACCTTCCTTGTCTACAGTGGCTCCTAGGTATGGAAACTCTTCAACATCCTCCACTTCCTCACCATTCACCACGATGCTTTCCCTGTTGCTAGCATGCTCAGTCCTCAGTGTCTTGCACTTTCGTGCATTAAGTTTAAGGCCTACTCTTGCTGCTTCCTCTGTCAGTCTCCCAGTCTTGTCGTGCAATTCATTAAACTTGGATGACAGTAGGGCAATGTTGTCCATGAAATCTAGGTCTTCGAGCACTGATGTGAAATTCCATTGTATCCCTCTTCTCTTGTCTGCTGTTGTCGTCCTCATGATCCAATCCAGGGCCTGTAAGAATGAGAATCCTGACATCATGCATCCCTGCCTTACTCCAGATTTGATCTTGAACCAATCTGATGTCTCGCTTCTGTCAATAACTGAGCACTCAAAGCCCTCATATACGTCTGCAATCACTCTCACCATCTTGCATGGTATCCCATAACTTCTCATGATGCTCCATAGGCTTTCTCTGTGTACCGAGTCAAAGGCTTTCTCAAAGTCCACAAAGTGTATGTGCAAACCTGCCCTCCACTCATTTGCCTGTTCCAAGATGTTTCTTAATATAAAGATCTGTTCAATTGTGCTTCTCTTTGGTCTAAACCCAACCTGCTCCTTTCAAAGCTTCTTGTCTACACCTATCCTGATTTGCTCTAGCATCATCCTGTAGAATATCTTGCTAATGATGGGTAGTAAAGTCACTCTTCTCCAATTGTTACAATCGTGCAAATCACCTTTCTTGAATATTTTGACGATAAGCCCTTTCTTCCACACTTCCGGCCATCTCTCAGTCTCCCCAAGCCTTTTATAACATGTAGTCGATGTTCTTGCAGTGTTCTGCATGACAGCTTTAAGTAGCTCTGGGCCCACTTCATCTATCCCCACTGCTTTCCCTGACTTTGTCTTCTTCAATGCGTTCTTAACCTCCTGTATCTACCATTTTCCTAAATCTATATCCGCAATCTCTCCCAGTTCTTCTCTTTCATCTTCTTCTACTGGATCCATTGGGTCTTCCCTGTTTAATATTTCACTAAAGTGCTCTACCCATCTCTTCAGTCTTTCTTGCACTTCTCTCTTAAATACCCCTTGTTTGTCTTTCACACCTGCTTCTTGTCTCTTCTGTTCCCCAGCTATCACCTTGGTTATGATGTATAGATCCTTGTTTCTACCATTCTCAGCAGCCTTTTCTGCTGCTGCAGCTTTCTCCTCCATCCAATTCCTCTTATCCCCCCTAGCACTCTGTTTCACTTCCTTGTCTTTTGCATTATACTCCTAGCTCTCCTTCTCTGCTTTAGTCACTCTGATCTTGCACCTTTCATTCTAAATTTTGCCTCTTTCCATGCAAGCTGGTGTCCACTTAATAGAGGGAGTCCGCTTAATGTAGGGTCTGCTTAACACAGGTTTCACTGTAGCTACGTTACACATATAAAAGGAAATGACTGAACTTTGTTCATGACAGCAGGCCAAAATATAAGCAGGGGTAAATTGTCACAGCCTGAAGGTGGTCATAATAATGGGGTTGTTGGAGTTACACTGTTGTCAACAGTTAAACTTAGTGGTAAATATAATTTAGGCAGCCAACCTGCACAGGTGTTTACAGTGGTGAGTTTGAACATGATCATTGAATAAGACAAAAAGTGCATATTCATAAATTTCACAAGTGTTGTGAAATTTATGAATATGCAATTTTTGTTGTACAAGCTTAAAATCAAGCAATCAAAAGATGTAATCTGTTGGTGTCATTCTGTTTTCAAAATGATACAGAAGGGTTTTTTTGTTTTAAAAATGACAGAATGCATAATTTGTATTGATGTTTGCAGCCCATTCATGTGACCTGAATTAAGTGTCTTTTCATTGGATCCATTCCTTTGAAAGTAGTAATGAATTTTACAAGTAGATAAATAGAGAATACTCACTGTTTGCATTGTATTTCTAGGTGAAAGTACTTAACAGTTGCAGCTGTACAACAGTTTTACTCTGATGATAAATTCTGGCACTTGCGCTCTCTAATAGGGAAGCCAGCACAAGTCCTTTCAAAAACCATGCATAGGGCATATAGGGTGGCACTATTGGGTGAGTGCTCTCGGTGTTGTAATTATGTTGTTAAGTTTGTAGGATCTTTAATTAGTACACGATGTACCTTTCAAATTAAGTCATTCAGTTTAATCTGAAACGGTTAAGGTTGGATGAGTTAGGGTTCAATTGTACTCTTTGTTGTATCTACTAATTAAGCAAAGGAAGCCAAAAATTGAGCCAGTGGAAAAAACAAAAACGCACAACAAAAGATGTTTTACATTCTTGAAAGTTAGTAGCACGGGTGGTGAGGGGGCTGATGGTAAGTGAGTTGGGGCTGAGTGGTCCACGGTAAGTGGCCAGGGAGTTAAGTGTTGTTCTTAGGCAAGATAGTTTGCCGTCACAACACCTCTTGATACAAGGAGGACTGGACTCAAGGGTGTACATGTATTTGTTGTAGTTTAAAAAGAATGTATTTTAGGTAAGAATGATTTCAACCCAGGTTATTTTGTTTTCACTTCAGGCTAGATTTTGCAAATAACTTTATTTATTTCTTCATGTTTGGGGGTTTCTTAAAAAAAATAATAACATGCACACCACCCACCTCCCTGACTGTCCCTAACCCTACCCTACCCTTAAGGGGACACCAATAATAAAAAGGACAGGGTTAACGCTGTTCATTGAAAACTTTGACAAGAACGCCTAAGAGGTACCAAGATCATCATCGTTTTTATATGGAAGTCCACCCAGTACCCTACCCAGCCAGGATCCCATTTTAACCCCCAAAAACTTTTTTTATTTTGTACTCACATTGATTCAAACACCCAATCTCTGACTTTGTAGTCCACTTTCATCTTCACTTGGCTATGCAAGCAATCATTTCAATTTTTTGGATATTTAATGGCCTAATAAGTGATTGGTCTCCAGNAATCTTGTTTATGGGAACTGTGATGCAGTGTAAACTACAGTAGCCCGGTACCTGCCCGCTGAACTGTGAAACTGTTGGGCACTTTCAATAACTGCCATAGCTTTTCGCTTTGTTCCTCCATTTTCGTAGCTATAGGAAAAATTCTCTTTCTTTTGCAGTTTTCTAGAAATCTTAGTAATTTCCATAATTTTCAGTGGTTTAGTAAAATGTGATAAGATTTCTAACCTCCGTTGTCGTTTAACTTTTGAATTTAGCTTTTAAATTGTTCCTCAACAGGTGATTCCGCTGTTGGAAAAACATGTCTGTTTAATAGATATTTAAAAGGACCAGTTGGTTTCAGTCAAGATACTTTGCCCACTACTAAAGGTGAGATGCATGTTTTCTTCTAAACAGCATTATTTAAATTGATTAAGTTTAATTATTACATGACCAAGTTTGTCTAGTCAAGGCCAATAACCAAAACCAACCAATCAGATTACTTTATAGCTGTTCCATATTTTCGCTTATGGCTTACTTGTTTACAGGAAATAACTTGGAGTCAAAGCTTATTACTCGTTTTCTTTCAACTTTTTCCCCTTTTTGCCGCATGCCCATGTGACCAGAGTCACGTGGACACGAGGATATATGGAGGGTGTTTGCTGTAATCCTGTGTAAAGATTCTTCCCATTCCAATCCTAATGAAAATTCCTGTGTAAGGATACTTGGGATGCCTAATGTAAGATTGCTGTATAAAGATTTTTCGCATTTGTGATTGTATTCTGTTTTCTCGACACTTTATTAACAGCATGGAAGCATATCATTGCGTCACGCTACTTGGGTTAAACCAAGAAGCAAGTCAAATCACTCTGGACAGATCACACGGAACGGATTCGCGCTGTCTGGTTTTCGATTCTTCTTTATCATTTCAATCCGTGAAATGAAGCAAAAAACAACATATGTAAGCTTTAAGTTGGCTTTAATTACAGACCCACTTAAAGGTCCATCAAACGGAATCTGTTTTGGGAAACCCATTTGATAAAGGGTCGTAAAAGCTGAAATCCCAAAAAACTAAATACAACTCTAACGTGAAAAAACCTAGAGATGGAAATGAGCTGATTCAAAACTATCATATAATGCGCACTTTCTGAAAATAAGCAAACAGGTATAAATTTAAAAAAATAATTAATTGTCAGCAAGGGTCAGATTGGGCCAGGTCGTGTCAGATTGAACTGTATACGTAAAAATACCGAAAGTGAAAATGCGCTCCTGTGTGCTTTAATTTAGCTAGCGTTACACTTGCTGGGGTAACTGCAGAATACCCTGCCACATCGAGCTTTTCACAGAAAACGGTTGACTACGCAGTCTTTTAGTGTAAGTCAGTCAGTCAGTCAGTCAGTCAGTCATTTAAAGAGGGTAGCACTAAAATAGTATAAAAATACTAACAAACCAGTGGCCCTCTAAAAGTGTCAGGCAGGAGTAAACGCTAAGTCAGCTCCCAATCAGGATATGCGAAAAAGTGAAGTTTATGTTGCCTTTCGAGGTTTTTTCTAAACGTTCATAACATTTGTAGTAAAAAAAGAGTTAAATTGACATTGACTTATTTGATCTTTTCCACTTTAATTTAACTGTTTGTAGTTGACTGTGGTACTAAGAAAGTTTATCAAGATCATGGCAGAGTCGTGACATTTTCAATATGGGACACTTCTGGCCATGAAAGTTTTCGCGATTTTGTTAAAGGGTACTGCAGATATACGGACGCTGCTATTATTGTGTATGACATAACACAGCAAGATTCACTTCGAAATGCAAGGGAATGGTTTGACATACTTCGGCGTGACTCCAGGCCGAATATTTTCAAAGCACTTGCAGGAAACAAAGCAGATCTTGTTAACGAGAGGCAGTTGACGTTTGAGGTAATTTGTGTTTGTAGCCATAAGTTTATGTCAGGTATAAAATCTGCAGTTACATTATCAAATCCAATTCAATTGAGGAAATTCGTTATATTAATTTGTACATACATTGCATCACATCGCGCTGATTTTTTTTACTCTAACAAGTTTGTTTGCTAATCGGTATCAAGTTCCACAGCAAGTGTAGACAAAGAGTTCTCATTTTCATCACTCGCCTCTTGGTCTTCCACACAATAAACTTTATGTCTCACTAGACGTTGCTCAGAGTTTTAATTTGCTTGCCTGCAGTTGTCTATGGGGCACCGTTTGTAAATTTATCCTTAATTTTAATTTTCGGTCGTTTTTACAGGTTCGATTACCAGCCGCTGTTCGGGAAAAGAGCCCGCGCTCCTCCCCCGAACT